CTAAATAAAAACAATTAGGTTAAACAAAATGTATATTTTAAAATATAATTTGATCTCTTTTTCTTATTCTCTTTACATTTGGATTTCATGTTTATATTATAGTTTTTTTTAATAGGAAAAGATTCAGATAGTGACATATCAGATTATGTAATGAATATGAGCTCAAACAGTTCTAATGAAAGTATAAACAGCGAAAACAGAAAAAGGAAGCGCAAAAATCAATCATGTAACTATATAATAATTAGATGTTACATCAAGATCTCTTTCAATTATTTTTTATCATGAATTATTTGTATTACAGGTCGTGAAACATATAAGAAAAAAAAACGATGGACAAATGAAGAGATAAAAAATGCAAAAACATATTTTTCACATTATACACGTAAAGGAATATTACCACCTTTATCGGAGATAGAAAAAGTTAAAATGAAATATAATGTTCTAAGAGATAGAAAAACTGATGTCATAAAAACATGGTTACACAACCAATTAAAAAAAAATAAGACTTTTGAGTAAATGTATCTACATTTAATTTTTAAGATGTATTGTTATATTTTATGGCATCCTATTTTTGATTTTTGAGTTTATTAAGATTTTGATTTTACAAATTTCAATTATGCCATTTTAGATATGCATTTTTATTTTTTAAAATAATATGTTTTTAATTTTTGAGTCTATTAACTTTTTGATTATAAATTTTAATTACTAAAATTAAGATATGTATTTTTATTTTTGAAGGCAGAATGTTTTTTATTTTTTAGTTTCTCTATTGTAAGTTTCAATTACTGCATTAATTTGTTATGAAATGTCCAAGTTTATTTCTTATTATATATATGCTAATATTACTTATTAGCAATAAAAGTTAACAATAAGTTTTCTTTTCTTATAAGTAAAGCAAAATACATTTATTACATAATATATTTAATAAAATAAGAAATTATAAAATTGAAATTTAAGTTTCACTTTTAAGTTTTGAATTATATGTTCTTGCGAAATTGTTAGAGCATTAGCGATCCACATCTGCTATAACAATTGCTAAGCTAGCCAATTAAGACAAAATGTGGTGTCGCCGTTTATAACGTTTTTGATTGTCTCGATCGATCATCTATATTGATTTATAATTAGTTATCTCTCGCCATATTGATATAAAAGTTTGTCTCGTGCAAATACACGATGTGCAGTATTATATTTTTTCCTGTGTGATTTAGATATCGCATATCTCGTTCTGTCAAATAAAAATTTTAATTTTTAATTATTAAATTCTACTTCAAAAAAACTTGTTTACATATAATTATATGTTGAGAGCTAACTTTTGAAGTAAAATCATATGATTTGAATCTTAAATTCGGATATATAATAACGTCAATAAATTTTAGTTTAGGTTTTCAAATACACATTTGCATTGAAACTTGAAGTAGTTTTATTTTATTTTAAGAAGGCTACTGGTATCGGGGATTTTGCTTCAAATAATTCTGCTATTAGAGTGAGTATTATGTTTTTAGGTTATAGAAAAATTATTTGCATTATTGAACGTACGGCATGTTCCGGGACGGATAAAATTTTTTAAATGTAATGTTTCTTTGTATTATTTTGGTATAAATTTTAACTTTCCGTTATTACATTCTACTTCAAAAGACCATATTTACATATAATTAACTGTTAACATGTTATTGATTTTTATATTAACACCATGCGAATTGAATCGATCTTCTTACATAAGAGTAAAGTTAATAATTTTGGTTTAGGTTTTTACACCCACATTTGCACTGAAACTTGAAGTAGATTTATTTTTAAGAAGGCTTCTGGTAAGTCTAAAAAAAGTCATCGAGAATTTTGTTTTATATAATACTGATATTAGAGCGACTTAATAAGTTTTAAATTCTGGAAAAATATTTGCATTTTTGAACACATGGCATATTCCGAGACCGCTACAATTTTTGTAAAGTAATGTCTCTTTGTATTATTTCTATATAAATGTTAATTTCAATTATTAAATTCTACTTTGAAATATCATATTCACATTATAATTAAGTGTTGAGAATGGATTTTTAAATTAAAACGAATTAAATCATCGGATATAAAATGCATTAGTTTTGGTTTGAGTGTTCACACACATTATTTGCTTCTGGTAATTTTAAAGTTATCGAGGATTTTTTGTCATGTAATATCGCCATGAGAGGGACGTTTTAAATTCAGAAAAATTATTTGTATTTTTGATCATACGGCATGTTTCGGGATCGACAGTTTTTTTAAATTATCGCTTTTTTGTATTTCATTATAAATTTTAATTTGCAGTCATTAATTTTTACTTTAAAAGATCATATTTACATTATAATTACGCGTTGAGAGCTGATGCTTGGATTAAAACTATGTAAATTGTTTTCGCATGTAACAGTAAAATCAATAATTTTTTGTTTAGTTTTTCACATTTATATTTGCATTGAAACTTGAGAAGTAGATTTATTTTTAAGAAGGCTTCTGGTAAGTCTAACGTTATCAAGAATTTTGTTTTATATAATCTTGCTATTAGAGCGACGTTATAAGTTTTAAATTCTGGAAAGGTAATTGCATTTTGAACATACGACCTATTCCGGGACCATTAACATTTTTGTAAATTAATGTCTTATGTATTTTGTATTATGTCTACATAAATTTTAATATTCAGTTATTAAATTCTACTTCGAAATGTCATATTTAATTAAATGTCATTTGTGATTAAGTGTTGAGAATGGATTTTTAGATTAAAACGATTTAAATTAAATCTTCGGGTGTAATGCATTAATTTTTATTTGGATGTCCACACACATTATTTGCATTAATGATTGAAATAATAATTCTATTTTTAGAAGGGCTTCTGATAAGTTTAAAGTTATCAAAACCTTTTTGTCATATAATTTCGCTATGAGGGGAACGTTTTAAATTCAAATAAATTATTTGCGTTTTTGAACATACGACATGTTTCGATATATTCCGACACCGTTTTTTTTTTAAATTATATAGCTTCTTTGTACTGTTTCTATATAAATTTTAATTTCCAGTTATTAATTTCTATTCGAAAGATCACATTCACATTATACTTATATGAGAGAGCTAATTTTTGAATTAAAGCTCACCTACATTTGCATTGAAACTTGAAGTAAGTTTATTTTTAAGAAGGCTTGTGGTAAGTCTAAAAGTTATCGAGAATTCTGTTTCAGATAATCCTGCTATTAGAGTGACATAATAAGTTTTAAATTATGGGAAGATATTTGCATTTTTGGACATACGGCATATTCGGGGACCGCTAAAATTTTTGTAAAGTAATGTCTCTTTCTATTATTTCTATATAAATTTTAATTTTCAGTAATTTCTATTTGAAAGATCATATTCAAATTATATTTACGTATTAAAAAAGCTTCTGATAAGTCTAACGTTAACGAAAATTTTATTTTATATAATCCTGCTATTAGCGACGTAATACGTTTTAAATTCTCGAAAGATGTTTCCATTTTTGAACATATATATAGCATGTTTCGGGACCGACAACATTTTTTAAATTATCGTCTTTTTGTATTATTTCATTATAAATTTTAATTTGCAGTTATTAGCTTCTACTTCGAAAGATCATATTCACATTATAATTACGTGTTAAGAGCTGATATTTCGACATTTGGATTAAAGCTATGTAAATTGTGTCTTCGAATATAACAATCAGGTCAATAATTTTGGTTTAGGTTTTCACATCCATATTTGCATTGAAACTTGAAGTAAGTTTATTTTTAAAAAAGCTGCTGGTAAGTCAAAAGGTATCGAGGAATTATTTGTTTCATATTATCCTGCTATTAGAGCGACGTAATATTAAACTTTGGAAAGGTTTTTGCATTTCTGCGCATACGGCATATTCCGGAATCGCTAAAATTTTTGTAAACTAATGTTTCTTTGTATTATTTCTATGTAAATTTAAATTTTCAGTTATTTAGTTCTGCTTCAAAATATCATATTCACTTTATAATTAAGTGTTGAGAATGGATTTTTAGATTAAAACGATTTAATTTGAATATTCGGATGGAATGTATTAATTTTTATTTGGATGCCCACACACATCATTTGCATAATTGGTTAAAATAATTATTTTATTTTAAAAAGGGCTTTTGTGTGTGTGTGTGTGTGTGTGTGGTAAGTTTAAAGTTATCGAAGAGTTTTTGTCATATAATATCGCTATGAAGGGGACGTGTTAAAATCAAGAAAATGATTTGCATTTTTGAACATACGGTATATTACGGTACTGCTAAAATTTTTATAAAGTAATGTCTCTTTTTATTATTTCTATGTAAATTTTAATTTTAAATTATTAAATTTTACTTTGAAATAGCATATTTACATTATAATTAAAAGTTTGTCATGTAATATTATTATTTAGAGGGGGACGTTTTAAATTCAGGAAAATTATTTGCATTTTTGAACATACGGCATGTTTCGGGACAGAAAAAAATTTTAAATTATTGCCTCTGTATTATTTCATTTTAAGTTTTTAGTTATTAATTTCTATTTCGAAAGATTATATTGACATTATAATTAATTATTGGAGAATCGATTTTTATAATTAATTTATAATTAATTATTCGAGAATCGATTTTTGGATTAAAACGATTTAAATTGAACATTCGTCAGTATAATTTCAATTTGATTTTATATCATTTTTTATTAAAGTAGTTTTTAGAATACTTTTGATAAAAGTCTAAGATTATACAGATTTTTTATATAAGCTTGCTATTCAAACGAGATATAATGTTGTAAAGTTTTAAAAGCTATTTGCATACGATTAGTGTACATACAGCATGTTCCGGGACCGATAAACTATTTTTTAAATAATTTTATTTTGTATTATTGCAATATTGTTAGAGCATTAACGATCACATCTATAACAATATTGCTAAGCTAGCCAATCAACGCGAACTGTGGTGTCGCTATTTATAATCTTTTTGGTCGTCCCGATCGACCATCTATATTAATTTATAATTAATGTTCTCTCTCGCCATCGCCATATTGATATAAAAGTTTGTCTTGTGAAATACACGATGTGCAGTATTCCTGTATGATGTAGTTATCCAATCCTTCTTGTTGTGTCAAATATAAATTTTAATTTTTAGTTATTAAATTCTACGTGAAAAGATCATATTAATACATATAATTATATATTGAAAGCTAGCTTTTGAATTAAAACCATGTGAATTGAATCTTCGGATATATAATAGTAACGTCAATAAATTTTGGTTTAGGTTTTCAAATACACATTTGCATTGAAACTTGAAGCAGTTTTATTTTAAGGACGCTACTGGTAGGTCTAAAGTTATCGAGAAATTTGTTTCAAATAATTCTGCTATTAGAGCGAGTATTATGTTTTTAGGTTATAGAAAAATTATTTGCATTATTGAACGTACGGCATGTTCCGGAACCGATAAAATTTTTAAAAGTAATGTTTCTTTGTATTATTTAAATATAAATTTTAACTTTGAGTTATTAAATTCTACTTCAAAAAACTATATTTATATATAATTTTATGCTAAGAGCTTACTTTTGAATTAAAACGATATGTGAATTGAATCTTCGGATATATAATAGTAACGTCAAGAAATTTTGGTTTAGATTTTCACATACGTATTTGCATAGAATCTTGAAGTTTATTTTTAAGAAGGCTTCTAACAAGTTTAAAGTTATCAAGAATTTTGTTTCATATAATTCTGCTATTAGAGAAACATAATAAGTTTTAAATTCTGGAAAGATATTTGCATTTTTGAGCATACGGCATTTTCCGGGACCGCTAAACTTTTTATAAGGTAATGCTTTTTTGTATTATTTCTACATAAATTTTAATTTTTAGTTATTACATTCTACTTCAAAGTATTATATTCACATTATAATTAAGTGCTAATTGAGAATGGATTTTTAGATTAAAACGATTTAAATTGTATCTTCAGCTATAATGCATTAATTTTGGTTTGAATGTCCACACACATCAATGCATTAATGGTTGAAATAATAATTCTATTTTAAAAAGGGCTTTTGGTAAGTTTATAGTTATCGAGGATTCTTTGTCATATAATATCACTATAAGGGGGACGTTTTAAATTCAGAAAAATTATTTGCTATTTTGAAGATACGGCATGTTTTGGGATGTCATTTTTCTTAAATTATTGCTTCCTTGTATTATTTTATTATAAATTTTAATTTTCCGTTATTAATTTCTACTTCGAAAGATCATATTCACATTATAATTATGTGTTAGGTTCTAATATTTGGATTAAAAATATGTTAATTGTATCTCCGTATATAAGAATAAAGTCAATAATTTTGGTTTAGGTTTTCACACCCACATTTGCGTTGAGACTACTGCGAGAGAGAAGTAGGTTTATTTTTAAGAAGGCTTCTGGTAAGTCGCAAGTTGTAAGAAACTTTGGCTTTATATAATCCTGCTATTAGAGCGACATAATAAGATTTAAATTCTGGAAAGATATTTGCATTTTTTAATATTTGGCAAATTCCGGGACCAATAAAAAAATGTATTAAAGTAATGTCGATCTGTATTATTTCTATATAAAGTCTAATATCTTGTTATAAAATTTTATTTCAAAAAATCGTATTTACGTTATAATTACGTGTTGAGAGCTGATATTTGGATTTTAAAGTTAAGTAAATCTCTTTGGATATAATAGTAAAGTCATTCATTTTGGTTTAAGTTTTTTCACACACACATTTTCATTGAATCTTGAAGTAGATTTATTTTTTAGAAGGCTTCTGGTAAGTCTACATTTCACGAGAATTTTGTCTCATATAATCCTGCTATTAGAGCAACATAATAAGTTTTAAATTCTGTAAAGCTATTTGCATTTTTGAGTATATGGCATTTTCTAGGACAGCATAAATTTATGTAAGGTATTGCTTTTTCGTATTATTTCCATTAAAATTTTAATTTCTAGTTATATTTTACTTTAAAATATCATATTTACATTATAATTAAGTGTTGAAAATGGATTTGTAGATTAAAACAATTTAAATTGAATATTCGGGTATAATGCATTAATTTTTGTTTGGATGTCCACACACATCAATGCATTAATGGTCGAAATAATTCTATTTTAAGAAGAGCTTCTGGTAAGTTTAAAGTTGTTGAGGAATTTATGTCATATAATTTTCGCTGTGTGGGGGACGTTTTAAATTCAGAAGTATTTGCATTTTTAAACATACGGCATGTTTCGGGACCGATAACATTTTTTTTTAATTATCGCGTCTTTGTAGTATTTCATTATAAATTTTTATTTGCAGTTTTAATTGCTACTTTAAAAGATCATATTCACATTATAATTACATGTTGCGATCTGATATTTGGATTAAAGGTATGTAAATTATGTCTTTGTATATAACAATAAAATCAGTAATTTTGGTTTAGGTTTTCACATTTACACTTGCATTGAAACTTAAGAAGTAGGTTTATTTTTAAGAAGACTTTTTTAAGTATACAATTATCGAGAATTTTGTTTTATATAGTCCTGCTTTTAGAGTGACATAATAAGTTTTAAATTCTGAAAAGATATTTGCATTTTTAAACATACGGCATGTTTCGGGACCGACAAAACTTTCTTAAATTGTCCTCTTTGTTAATACAAAATGAAATAATTTTCATTATAAATTTTAATTTTCAGTTATTAATTTCTACTTTAAAAGATCATATTTACATATAATTATTTATTGAGAGCTGACTTTTTTTTATTAAAACCATGTGAATTAAATCTTTGGATATAATAGTACTCTCAATAAACTTTGTTTTAGGTTTTCACATACACTTTGCATTGAAACTTAAAGTAGTTTTATTTTAAGAAAGTTACTGGTAAGTCTACATTTATCAAGGATCTTATTTCAAATAATTCTGCTATTAGAATGAGTATTATGTATTTAGATTTAAAAAATTATTTGCATTATTGAACGTACGGCATGTTCCGGGACCGATTAAATTTTTTAAATATAATGTTTCTTTGGATTATTTCAATTAAAATTTTAACTTTCAAGTATTAAATTCTACTTCAAAAGACCATATTTACATGTAATTATGTGTTGACAGTTGATTTTTGTATTAATACCATGCAAATTAAATTTTCGGATGGAATAATATCGACAGTAAATTTTGGTTTAGATTTTCACATACACATTTACATTGAAACTTGAAGTAGTTTTATTTTAAGAAGATTTCTGATAAGTCTACAGTTATCGAGAAGTTTTTTATAATTCTGCTATTAGAGCAACATAATAAGTTCTAAATTATTCAGACATTTGCATTTTTGAACATACACAGCATGTTCCGGGATTAGTAAAGCTTTTTTTAAATATTGTCTCTTTTTATTCTTTTATAAGTCTTAATTCGAAATTATAATAAATACTACTTCGAAAGATCATATTTACATTTTGATTAACTACTGAAAGCTGATTTTTTTAATTTAATACGGTATAAATTGAATGTTTATATATAAGAATAATATCACTAGTTTTGATAATTTGTAAATTTGCACACATTATTTGCATTTACACTTGAAGTAATATTATTTTGAGAAGGCTTCTGGTGAGTTCTTCTAAATTTGTCGACGTTCTTTTATATAATCTTACTATTAGAATGACTTGTGTTTTAAGTTCTGGAAAATTATTTGCATTATTGAAAATACGGCATTTTCCAGGACCGTTAAAATTGTTTGAAAATATTGTATCTTAAATTTGTATTATTTCTATAAATCTTAATTCAAATTCTGAAGTAATAAATTATTCCGCGAAAAATATTTTCATTATAATTAGTTAAGTACTGATTTATTTTTGTTAATTTTTATTTAAACTTGAGCTTGGTGAATATAACCATAATGTAAATAATTTTGATTTGCGTTTTAATAAGTTTTCATTAACATTTGGAGAAATCTTCTGACATGTCTAAACTTTTTGTGTTTATTTTTTCATATAATTCTGTTATTAACTATGTATTACGTTTCAAGGTTTGCAAAGTTGTTTGCATTCGTGAATATTTCGGGATCAGTGTAAGTTTTCTTAAGATAGTGTCTCTTTGTATATGTAGAAATCTTATTTCTATATCAATAAATTTGAAATATCATATTTTATTATAATAATCTTATAATAACTGATGTTAACTAATGATTTTATTATTGCTATAATGAAGAAATATGTTTCTCTCTTTTCTCGGTATTGCAATAAAATCAATAATCTTCATTTTATTAAATTCTTATTATTTTTTATTACAATCTGGTTGTTTGAATATAACGACAATAACAACAATTTTAATTTCTTTTCATCATTTCTTACTAACATTTGCAATATTGCTTTTTTAAAATTGCTTTTAGTAAGCCTAAAATTTTGAAGTTATAAAAATATATCAAGTAATTATATCTTTGCGTTTAGAAATCATGTATATTTATGAAATGTATATATTTGTATATGCAATAATTATATATTATAAAAAATTTATTATTTTCTTTGTATAGGTATATCTTGAAAAAGATTTATGTCCTACGGCAGTTTCCAGGACGTTCTGGAACCTGCCATTTAGATACAATGGCAGATTCCAGGTCTGTACATTTAGATGTATATACATTTTAAAGAAATAATACATGTTAAAGAAATAAATAAGAGAATAAGAGTTTTAAACAATGGACAGTTTAACAACAATAGAAAAAAAGAAATTGCAGAAGATAATAGCAAGAAAAAATTTTTCGTCATTCCATACATTAATAACAATTCTGAGACAATAGCATCGACAATAAAAAAATCAGATTTCAGAGTAGGATACCGTTGTCTAAATAATCTTAACAAATTTATTAAAGTCCACAAGGACAAAAACGTGCATAACAATAATAATAATGTTGTCTACAAAATTAATTGTAAGGATTGTGAAGCTTCGTATGTTGGGCAAACCAAAAGAAAATTACGCACTAGACTAAAAGAGCATATGAATAATATTAAATTTGATTCCTCCAAGCATTCTGTGGTCTCTGAACATATTATAGATAAAAAACATGCTTTTGATTGGGATAACGTTAAAATACTTGATATTGAATCTAATTATTATAAAAGACTTATCTCGGAAATGATACACATCAAGGAACAAAGGCATGGTATAAATAATAACACAGACACCGAATTGCTTAACAACGCGTATTTCGACACTCTAGAAGAAATATCGAATTTTTAGACGTATGTAAATGTTTATTTTGTGAGATCTGACACCTATTTATTCGACTTTTTAAAAGACTAGACAACAGTCAAGTACTAACAATAAGGCCAACAACAATTAGAAGCATCGTCATCTCAAGTTATTCGGAACAATTTGTAAGCATAAAGGTTCAATATTTTAGTATTTAGTTTAATTTGTAATTTTTAATCTTTTTTTACATACACATTAGTGGAATCCTATTTTACAATTGAATAAATTCTCTAAATTCAGTTAACAAATATCAAATAATTTGGAGAGGATGGACATAATCATTGCCAGAGCGAGGGACTTTCGTCAAATAACGATAAGTGGTTCGTTTGGAGCAATGTATAAGTGTCACTCCGAGTTTTTATTAATAATTCTAAAATATTTTATGAATAACCGGACAAATCATTCTGCTTCTAATTGGGTTCTTACTTTGTTGAACTATTTTAATGGTTTCAATTCATTGTAAATATATTTTGCGTTTTAACTATGACTTAACTATATAACTTATATTGACTATGTATTGCGGATTTTTTATTAGAATTTTATGTATGTATTTATTTATTATCGTTATTTATTATCATTATTTTTTTTGCGCACTGAAGAGGAGCAAGTAGAGCTCGAAACGTTTGTGTAATTATTATTTCAAATTAAGAATTTTCTTCTAAATAATAAAATAATATCGTATTGCGCGTTACACATGGCCTTAATTTAATAATTTATCATTGTTTTTATAATAATATGGCTTATATTTTTTGGAACGTATATATGTATTATTTAAAAAATAAAAATGTATTTAAATAAATTACATTTATAATCTTTGAGACAAGCATATGACTACTGTCAGGATCAACCAGGGAGCTTCGTGTTCGGTTACTCGCAAGGGAGTAACTCGCGAGCGAGCCCGAAGACTTGTCGCTAGCTCTTTTTCGCGCGCGCGCGCGTTCGATGCCGAAACATCGACGCGCGCGCGACACGCTCGTATGTGCCATTTTATTTGCCGCCGGTTTTGCTCAGCCGGTCGGCGACACTCTGCTGTGTTTAACGCTATTATGTAAAGCGTACGAGAGAACGACGGAGGCGAGAGTAAACCCCCGACGCCGCCGCCTCACCTCTTCTTCCTCCTCCTCACCGTTCAAAAATCCACAAGATCAAACTACTCGTGTTCTTATTCTCCCAAATGTTATGATGCGCGGTCTCGAGAAACCGCGCGATTCACCCTGACGCTAAATCGACGATGGCGATGCTTAGACGTCGAGGACTGTTCTGTCTGGTTCGTACGCGTTTAACCGCACACGACCAGCAATAAGATTTCGCTACGGCGTACAAAGCGAGCGGGAAGAAGCAACTCTTCCCGCAAACTCGTATCCGTGGAGTAGATGCTCGGTAAGCGCGACGGTTCCGCTGCTGCGTACGAAACGAGAGGAACCGCGCGGCCAACACACTAGAAGCGTGCGCGCCACATAAGAGCCATTCGGTCTTGCGACACCGACTCGTGGCAATGCTGTGCTCGTAATAAATAAGTGTGCGTTAATTTTGCGCGCGTTCGGCGACGAACGAGAAGAGCCGCACCGTAATCCCCGGCGAAGAGGAATACGAGACGACGCGAGAGTCGAACGTACGTTCTCGCGAGACACGCAACCTCCAAGCATGAGAAGACTTGGCGGCGGCGCGTTCTGCGACGATCGTATATTATTTTATATATTCGTGGTTTCCAAATCAAACATTTTATATAAATGTTCTCTCCGTGTCAGAGTCGCGACTCGACAAAATCCGTTCTCGACCCGTACGGGCGATTCTTCGTTTGTCAACGTCTAGAGCGCGACACGTACAATATTAATCTCTCCTACCCTCTTATAGTACCCAACCGACCGGCCAAGCGGTCGGCGACGGTACGGAGAGCGGTCGAAACACGCCGGAGTGGCGAGAGACTCGAGAAAGTACGTTTACGACTCGTCCGGACTCGCTCGACTCGTTCGACGCGCCGAGCGCGACGTATCTCTTATAGTACCCAACCGGCCGGCCAGGCGGTCGGCGACGCACGGTCCTACGCACGGCCGTATGCGAGCGCGAGCGCCGAAAGGCGCGTTCAATCGAGACATAGTCGCGGAGAGCGAACGATCGAAAAGTCCTATTGTACGATAAAATATTATCACGATAGCCGTATGGCAAATGTCAAACAACGATAATTAGCATTAATTAAGAAGGAAACAAACGAAATGCCGGGACAATGAGGTATAAGCACCGACGGTACCTCCGAGCCGGGAGGCACATCCGGGCCGGGCGGCACCTCCGGGTCGGGCGGCACCTCCGGGCCGGGCGACACCTCCGGGAACCACGGCCGACCGGCGACACCTCCGGGCCGGGCGACACCTCCGAGAACCATGGCCGACCGGCGGCACCTCCGGGCCGGGCGGCACCTCCGGGCCGGGCGGCACCTCCGGGCCGGGCGACACCTCCGGGAACCACGGCGGGCACCTCCGGGCCGGGCGGCACCTCCGGGCCGGGCGACACCTCCGGGAACCACGTCCGACCGGCGACACCTTCGGGCCGGGCGACACCTCCGGGAACCACGGCCGACCGGCGACACCTCCGGGACGGGCGGCACCTCCGGACGACCGAATGATCTCTCGAAGTCAGACGACCGCCGGCGGTACCTCCGGAACACTTAACGACGATTTACGGCGCCGCAACAAGGAGAGCTACGTAAAAACGTTTCGGACGAAAGTTATTTACTATTCGGCGCTCGCTCGACATGAGGGCGCTGTCCGATTACTAACTCGAAACGTGTCTCTCAAACCCACGTGTCGGAGACATATATTTCGAATTATTACGGATGATACGCAACACGCAAGCTGCGGTGACCGCGATTACGGTACGGAACACTCGCCCGATGCGAAATCACGCGCGCGGCAACCGAGACGGCTCGTTACGGGCATGATTATACGTGCGGCACCACATAACGGCCGGCGTCAACTTGGGGACGGACGGCACCTCCGGGACGGGCGACACCTCCGGACGACCGAATGATTTTACCAAGTCCGTCGCCCGCCGGCGGTACCTCCGGGGCACTTGACGGCGAGTAGCGCCGCTACGAGGAGATAATGCTACGATACGGAAATACGTTTCGGACAAAGGTTTCGTATTTTTCGACGCTCCGCACGACCGCGCGAAACGATTATTACGATATCTGCTAATTCCCGGCTACCACTCGTCGGATGCACAATCTTCGAGATTCTACGACCGATACGTGGACGAATGCAGGCAGGATGCCGATAAGCGAAGCTGGAGTGTTTGCACGAATAAACTTTCCGATGCGTCCTCATTTAATTAATCTCATTTAGCTCGCTCGTTAGCGGTACAAGCGAGAACTCGGGTACAGGCGCAAGTTCGCTCGCGGCGCGTTGCTCTCGCCGGCGAGCGAGAAATTTTTCCAGGCCCGATAGCGGCGTGTTGCCTTGATTAGCGGGCGACACCTCCGGCGGCACGCGCCGCCCGTAACCCAAGTACGATCGCGGCGTGTTGCTTTCGTTGGCAGGCGACACCTCCGGCGGCACGCGCCGCTCGTAACCCAAGTCAGATCGCGGCGTGTTGCATTCGTTGTCGGGCGACACCTCCGGCGGCACGCGCCGCCCGTAACCCAAGTCCGATCGCGGCGTGTTGCTTTCGTTGGCGGGCGACACCTCCGGCCGCACAAGCCGCTTTTTCCAAGTTCGCTCGCGGCGTGTTGCTTTTGCCGGGCGAACGACAAATTCTTCCAAGTTCGCTCGCGGCGTGTTGCTATCGCCGGGCGAGCGAGAAATTCATCCAAGTCCGTTCGCAGCGTGTTGCATTCGCCGGCGAGCGAGAAATTCTTCCAAGTCCGTTCGCGGCGTGTTGCTTTCGCCGGGCGAGCGAGAAATTCTTCCAAGTCCGATCGCGGCGTGTTGCTTTCGTTGGCGGGCGACACCTCCGGCGGCACGCGCCGCCCGTACCACAAGTCCGATCGCGGCGTGTTCTTTCGTAGGCGGGCGACACCTCCGGCCGCACAAGCCGCTTTTTCCAAGTTCGCTCGCGGCGTGTTGCTTTCGCCGGGCGAGCGACAAATTCTGCCAAGTTCGCTCGCGGCGTGTTGCTTTCGCCGGGCGAGCGAGAAATTCTTCCAAGTCCGTTCGCGGCGTGTTGCTTTCGCCGGGCGAGCGAGAAATTTATCCAAGTCCGTTCGCGGCGTGTTGCTTTCGCCGGGCGAGCGACAAATTCTTCCAAGTTCGCTCGCGGCGTGTTGCTTTCGCCGGGCGAGCGAGAAATTCTTCCAAGTCCGTTCGCGGCGTGTTGCTTTCGCCGGGCGAGCGAGAAATTCATCCAAGTCCGTTCGCGGCCACATTTCTATCGTTCACGTTTTCTTTCGCTT